CACAAAATCTCTCATACATACTCACATACTCACATTCACATACAATCTCACACACACATTCATACACCATGTCTCACATACACTCTCTCGAAACTTCACTCAATAACTAGAATGGCTTTGTAGGCACATAGTTTTAAATGTTATCTGGAATTGAAGTTCAGTTTAGAGACAATGTTCTTTATTGTTGTGTAAAACTCTGGCTCAGATTCAAGTTTCTGAGTGCTACCTTCCTTTAAAAAACAAAACCAAGAATATAGCACAGAAGTGGTATAGTCTGTGAGAGTGAATTCTGAGGCTTTCTCTTAGGCTGAGGAGATTGCACACTTATGTCAGATAAATAGAACAGGATAAAAGTGCGGGCTACGGCAAGCCTGGGCAATCTCTACACGCACCTTAGCCCAAGAATGTCAGTTTTCTGATAAAACAGCAATGGGACAGTAGCTCCTACTGAAAGTCAGGAAGAGATTGAGGTGATCAACTGTTGCTTTGGTGTGAGGTTCAAAGATGCCTTGGACAAAGTAAGTGGGTGCATATCTGCCCAGCGCATCCTTTGGCCAGATTTCTCTGAGGGATGGCGCCCCCTAGGGATGGCTCTCACCTTAGGAAGTGGCCACAAGTATCCACACATCCAGAGCTATGTTAGAACTTAACTGCCCACTGCCCCTCCACAGTTGATTACTAAGTAACTTCCGCATTCGTCCCCAGGTTGAGTTTCGGCTGTAGAGCCAGGCTCACCCTGGCTGATGCACCTGGTACCTATTGTGTCTAGTCACTGTATTTCTCACATCCACTCATGGTGTGAGGAAAGGTCTAGGGAGGCAGAGAGGCACATACTTGGGAGTTAGCAGCATGGCTCATTTGTCTGTACTTTAGGTTCTGTCTAGATTTCATCTTCATTTAAACATCAAGGATCTGACTGCACCAATAGCGGGCTTCAAAATACAATTCCACGGGATTCGGTGAAGTTTTAGCACCTGTTTTAAAGTCCTTTTAGAAAGGTCAGCTCTTAGTTCAATTCCTCCCCGTGCAATAGTGCATTGAGAAATGCCAGCAGAGGAATATTAGGGACCACCACCTCCTCTTGAGTCTGCTCTGATAGCTCATCAAAGCCCAATGCATAGAGAGGTTGAGAAGAAGCCCCACCACAGCCATGTTGGGAAGGCTGATACGGCTTCCACCACTGTGTTGGATCTTTGTGGTCTGGTGTTTAGAGCACTGCGATGTTGTTCTTTCCACATCTTGTGAAAGACCTTGGGTCTTGGCCCGGTACACATCTCAATTTGCTTTTTCTTTAATAGACATCAAGTGAAGTGGCCTCATCCTGTAGTTTTCCACTGAGTGAGAGCAAGGGATGTGTTTGTCAAAGGGCTTGTCCTTTTTGGGAGTCGCAGAAGGCACCCCGCCCCATGCCTGTGCTGTGGACTGATGGATACATTCCAACATATCCTCCATTTTTCCTTGGCTGGTCTCTTTCAAGAGATGCAGGCTATCGCAAGCTGGGGAAATAAGATGGTGACTTTTGGAGTTCCAATGGCTCTAAACCTTTGATAGCACACCTCCTTTTTAAAAATCTTTTGTCAACAGCAGTCGCAGGCTGTGGTTTTCTTGTCTGTGAGAGGTAACTAACAGCGCAGCACTTTACGGGGGAGCGCGGTTCACCTAGCACCCCAACCACCCACTGGTTTCCGGTCCCCTTTATCAGCTAAATCATCAGGCCTGAGCTGACATTTCAGCTCTGAGTGGCTCCCAATCCCCACCAAAGGGAAAAATGTGACAGGAGGAGGGAAAGCTCGCTTGGCAGTAGCTGTTCTTGCCGTTTGGCCTGGAGAAAGACGCTCAGAGTGGTGGAAGATTGTGCCGTAACAGCTGGCGAGCACCGGGGTGTGAGGCTGCTTTTCAGCGATGACGGCCACTTACAGGAATGCTGCCAGATACAGCTGTTTAAAAGCCTTAATAAACAGCAAGTCAATACTAATCTTTGCCAAATTAATCTTTTCCCTGACAGCCCATCACAGCAATTATGTTTGGGCTTATTGTAAACACACAATTGTCAAACAGGGACATGGCAGACTTTAAAAATACTGTAGTTTTGTTCACAGAAGGTTTAGAACAGTATTTTTATTTTCTCTGTAGAGTTGTCTTTCCATTTTATTATCTGGTCATTCCCCCCCACCCCCATTTCTGGCTTCATGTCAGTGTGAGTGAAATTTCACTGTTCAAAGCCTTTGCTAGCAAGTTGTTGATAAATGTGAAATAATCATGCAGGTGGGTTTCTGTAATTAGCTCAGGCTATGATGATGCTGAAGTACAACCCATCACTGCTCTTGGGTGTCCATCGGGGGCAAGGACTTCAACTTCACTTTGCATGTCCTCTGAGGCTGGATACAAAGGTTTAGCTAAGTATAAAACAGCTAAGGCTGTCTGTACACACCAGATGCCACCGCCTCTAAGTCAGTCCTGAAGGTGTTTCTTCTCTTGAGGTCCTAGCCTCCTTCCCACTCTTCTTCCCCAAGTACCTGGAGATATATTTGTTGGGAAAGGTTTTCCCACAGAGAAATGGTGCCAGATGAAAGCATGGAAATTGTTTTTGACTATCTTTTAAAAGTAGTATTATTTCTTGTGTCGTTTAGGTGGGATCCAGAAAATGAGCCTTTCTTTATGTTCCAAGTCTACCCACAGTGTCCTGTTCTTCCGTCAGTGTTTGAATTTAGCATCCATACATTCATTTCCTGAGATTTCTCTCTTGTTCTCAGTACTCCTACATGTCTAGCACCTTTCCTTCTCCTTCCCTGCATTTTCTTGGTGTGCTGATGGTGCGTATCTTCTGCTTGTCACAACTAGAAAAGAAATCCTTTCTTTCTTTCTTTCTTTCTTTCTTTCTTTCTTTCTTTCTTTTCTTTCTCTCTCTCTCTCTCTCTCTCTCTCTTCCTTTCTTCCTTTCTTTATTTCTTTTTTTCTCTCCCCCTCCTCCCTCCCTCCCTCCCTCCCTCTCGCTCTTTCAGGAAGTTTTATTCTGTAGTCCTTGTTGGCCTGGAACCTGCTATGTGGACCAGGTTGACTTTGAACTCCCATAGGTCCTCCTGCCTCATCCTGCTGGGATTAAAGGTGTGTGCCACCATGTCCCACTTTTTCAAACTTTTGTAGCCTTGGGTTTCTTAATGAAATATTCCTATCCTTTCCCCTTCATAATGCTTCCCTTTAAGCAAATATTTAATTTGTTTCTGTATTTAAAAGGAAGTACCATACAATTTATGTTGAAGTTAATTTGTGGTATTTTCTTGATGCTATAACATTACATTTGCTATGCAATATTATGTGCTATTGTATCCCAGTTAGAGATATGAAAACCACTGAATTTCAAGGACAGACAGACTCACACACACACACACACACACACACACACACACACACGCACACGCACACGCACACACACGCACGCGCACACACACGCACGCATACACACACACACACACACACACACACACACACACACACACACACAGAGACAGATCACTTGACTGTGAGTGATTTACATACTTAGAGGCTGAACTTTCCTCACTCTTGGCCTTTGCTTTACCACTGTTTCAGTGTCCAACCACAAGCAACAGACTTAGGGAGTTTGCTGTGTTTCCATCCTCACTTCCAGTGAGAATTAACAGTAGAATAATAATGTAGGCCAGTTCTACAAACAGTATTATGAGAACGACTATGTGTAACAAGTTTTCATGTTTTAGTAGACTGCTGTTTATTATGAATTTCTACATACAAGTTCCCTCTAATAATGACACTGTGATCTACTGGAATCTCTCAGTTCACTACATTCTTTCACAGGTCATAGATTTCTCAAATGGATTCTAAGTGGAGTAATGTATAAACAATCTGTCAGTTACTTTTTGAGTGTTTCCCACTTAGTGCTTTGTAAAGTACCTCAAATTGCCTTAGAAATTATATTTAAGGCTATAGCTGAAAGCATAGTTATCTCTAGTTCCTACCTCATCTTCTGGTAGACCATATGAAATGGCTTCCCATGCACATAAAAGGGTGAAAACTGTCCATGTCACATGGGTCAACTACTGACTTTTCATTGAGTGGGGCAGCTCTTGCATGGAAGATGGAAATAGATGGTCGCACTAATTCTAAGTTTTGCATTCGTAAGTTTAAAAAATTTCTTGGCAGTGAATGTGAGCTAGGACAGTACACACTGTAATCCTGGTATTCTGTTCACATTTTATGGCCCATGTAGAAGGGTTTCTTGACTTTAAGAGGCAGATAAAAATTATCCTAGAAGACAACTTCATCTTTAGCTGTGTTCCCTAACTGGACCCCCTGCAAGTCATTATTTGACTCATTTCCCACTGTCACCTCACTCTCTTTTAGATGGAACTCAGGGTTTTAGAGCACCATTCCTTCATTCTGTTAGAGAGACAACCCAGTCCCCACGGCCCCCCCCCCCCCCCACTGGCAAACGTTTCTTCCTCTGTTTAGCTAGAATTCTGATTTTGGATATGTTAGTGAACACACTTTATGTTCAGTACCATTGTTGAATCTTAGAATGACTTTGCTGTCTACTCAGGGATCACTGCTTCTCTAGGTAACAAGTTAACTGAGTCTAAGGTGTCTGTGTCAAAAGATAGCAGAATTAAAGGAGTGGATTTCTTTGGTTGGTGAGAGACACTCATGGAATTTTGGGAAAGAACCTTTGAAGTCATTACAGCTATTAATGCCTATTGTGCTCAGTCACATTTGACCTGGCATGCCTTTTAGAATCTGAGGAATCTCCAAGTAGAATACTTCCACATGCTCTAAGAGTTTTACTGATAATATATTTTCTTATTTGGTATATTTGTTCTTCTTGTCTTGATCATGTGCCTGCTGGGAAAAGCTGCACACAGTCCCCTGGACAAACCTCTTGTCTTAGCTGGTAGGATTCCTTTCTCAGTTTACACTCAGTGCAGAAGAAAGCTATACTGTTTCATAATATAATAAATAAAAGACATTAGTAAATTAGTAGTGCTCATATATTTCTAAAATACTAAACAACCAAATAATAAACCATGAACTTAATCACATGAGTTCTTATACAATATCAAGACAGGAAAATTCGAGCTCTCAGCCCCAGTCATTTTAATAACATTGGATCTGCATTATTTATTAGTTATTACATGCTGAGTGATTCAATGTTGTACAATGCTTGAAAATCATTCCAAAGCAAGCAAGCCTTTTGTCTTTTTAATTCTGACTGGATTACATAATGTATTTGTATTTAAATTGCTGAAGTTATTTCATACATTCCACCAAACAGCTATTCCCTTGATTTCCAACCAGATTAATTTACGGGATACAATCCCCCTGGAAGGGAGACATTGGTTCACCCTCCCTTTTGTTGTCAAAGCTATGCAAACCCCTCTTAGCAAATCCCAAGTAGGGACCTAGGGTGTGTGGAAAGGAAGGACGTGGAGGCCTGAGAGATAGTAGGACTCTCAACTTCTAGCAACTGCTTCCAGTTCTGGCTGCTTTTCCGATTTTTTTGGCTGTCTGGTTACTTACCTTTCATTTCTAGGCTGATTCTAAAGACTATGCCTTCTTTTGATCTCTTCCTGAGCCCTTGGTCAATTCTTAAATTGTTTTCTGGATGCCGTGAGAAGCATGTGGCTTGAGGAATTTTTGGTGACTCAACTTGAATTTTTTTTTTTTTTTTTTTTAAATGGGGAGAGCATGTTTTGGAATTGAGAAGTGAGAAACAGCTCATTTTAAGAAGAGGGTGCACTGGTATTTGTTTAGGCATGGAGTGTGTGAGACTTTTGGGGTGTTTTTCTGTTGTATTGTACAAGGAAAGAAGGTTGCTAAGTAAAATTGTATTTCATTTATGTCAACAAAAGATATGCAGAAATACAGATTCATTACTCTAATTTGCTACTAAATGAAAAGCAGATTTGGTTTTATTCATGTCACTGTAAGAACTAAATAATAAGTATTCACACCAAGCATGGGTTTTTTTTTTTGCCAGCAAAAATTAAAACAGCAATGAAACCTCTTTCAAATACTAACAAATTTACTTACAAACACCTATATTTATTATTTCATAAATAGGCGCAACAAGTTCCATAAAAAAAAAAGATTAAATACAGACACGGTATGAGGAAACAATAATACAGAGCCATAAAGATGATCGTTTAGCGCTTTCCAACCTGGTTCTGCAGCTAAGATACCGGGTGAGCATTTGGCAGCTTTATACATAAAAGGACTTAGATAGATGACATTTACTAACCGTTACACAAAAGTGATACAAAAAAGGATTTTTTCTTTTCTTTTTTTTTTTTTTTTTGCAATACAAAATAAATGTGTTTGCGCTTCCCTCCCTCCACACTAGGTTCTTCTTGTCTGATCAATAAGACAAAGCCAATTTGTTTTTAAATTAAAATCATTTGGGAATATTTTTTCAAGTATTTTGAAAATATAGAACTATTAGTTGTTTTTAAAAATGAAGTAAAAATATGAATGTTTGCCAATTTAACCCCTCTGTGAAATAAACAAACTGGGGTAAGCCAGTTTCAAATTACAATTTAGCTACAAAAACATTCACATTTTATACTCTAGGAGAGTGTAACATAGATGCTATTTACAAACTTGCTATGACTGCTACATCAAGCCATTTAAAAAGTCTTTAGTAGTTTCATATAAACACCCATTATGAAAACCAATGAAAACCCAGGACCATTACCCCAGACATCTACCGTTGCTAAGGCAGTTACTAGAGCGCAGTACTTCACAGCAAAACCAACAGAAATCAGAACGGTCCATACTTCCTTCAGGGAAGAGGAACAATGTCCATAAAAGATTAAAAAAATAATAACGAAGCATGACTATTTCTTCCAGAGTGGGTGACCCACAAGCTCACATGGTCCTAAGTGCTTAGCAACTTGTATTTTCTAATAAAATGAAGAATTGCCTTGAGTGCACAAAGCAATCCATGATGAAAAGACTTCCCTGAATTCCTCAGTGGAAATGAGACGTGTTGAGATTTTTCAGGTGAGGTACAGTGCTTTGTCCCTCTGCATGCCCCTGTGTGGAGAGAAAACATTGTTACAAGAAAATCAGAACTGCGGTGGGTGGGTGGGGGCGGGAGTGGTGAGGGTGGTATTATTTGTTCTAGCTGGGGGGCAGAGGGGTAAGACCGGCGCGGGGGAGGCGCACAGGTAGTTGACCTAAGTCCACAGCAAAGAGAAACGTGAAGGCGTTTGTTCTTGGAAAGCTAGAAGATGGCTCCACACGTTTTTGGACCTTATTTTCCTGAAGCCTTCCTGGCCATGGAAGCCTTGCCCATGCTGAGGCTCATGCTATGACACCCTCCACCACCAGGTGGCGATGGCTGGCTGCTTACCCACTACTGCAGTAGTCGTTATTCCAGTCCACCGGCTGTGGGGGAGGGTTTCTGCATCCAGAACGCACATACTCCATCGCTTGGGTGACAACTTGTGCGGCTGTAGATGTAGGGTTGATAATAGTCTGATAGTCGGGTTGAAGAGTAAATCCCTGAGGGAAAAGCAAATCCACACTTGAGAAACGCAGTGCCTTTTAAAAGAAAGCAAGGACATAGTTACCCATGCCTGCAAACTTCTGCAGGAACCCGTGGGAGCACCCCTCTCCCCCGACCTAAAGTAGAAAAGAAGCACCCACCACCTCATTATTCTTACCTTTCCTTCGTTTAACCACGTGTCAAAATCCTTTCATTATACCCTTGGGCAGATAAATTGAGTTGGGAAACAATTTAAAATATAGAATAGCCAACTCAATCCAAGCAAAGGAAGAATGACCTTAAGCCCCTCACGGTTGATGTTTTCTATCAACCTAAAGACACATTAATAGTTAATCCCCAGAATAAGCAGCAGTCTTCCTGAAGGATCCGGGCAGCAGGTGGCTGAGTGTTTTATTAGACTACACCTATTCACATATTGTTCTCAAAACCCCTGTCTGCATTCAGTCACAACGGGGCCATCTGCTTCTTCTTTTATTTGTGTTTCTCTATCGGCTGAAAATTTCAACCAAAGCTTTTTTTTCATATCGGTTGTTGAACTAATACAGGGAAAGAGATGGAAAACAACTCGCCATTGGAAAACACGGGGAATAAAACATGTAAAGACAGCAAACATTTTTAATTGAAAAGTCTCTTAGCTGGCAAACAATACTCAGATTTCCGGAGGATTTTTTTTAATGCACTAGTATGGTGAAGTGTTGACATTTAATGCCAGTAAAGCTATTAAAAATGCAAGGACAGACTCTCTGAAGCATATAGCTGTATCTGGTAAACAAAAAGCATTATACACAATTTATTTTTGGCTTATCTGGTGAATTGAGGAGCAGCATAAGCAGGTTTTGCTGGAAGTGACCACAGAAAGTAACTTAATTAGTCTCATGGTTGTCTTTGCAGCAGATTCCAGCCATGGTTTTTAACACCCAAGAAATCAAGATTATAAATGCACGGTGCTCTGTTTACTTGAAAGCAGCTTTGGAGCGAAATGCTGTTGATGACTCTCCTTACACTCAGCGTGGGGGCGAGAGGGTGGATTTTTAACTAAAGGTATTTCCTCAAATTTTTACTCATGTGTGGTTGGTCCCTAACATAGTGATTTGAAGACCACATCTCAGATCAATTTGCCTTAACCTTCTGGTTGGCTTTAAGGAGTCCTTTGATTTGCTCTTCCAATGATAAAGACTGCAGACCCATGGCCATGTCTACTCTCATGAAATTGTGGTGAGAGAAGGAATTCAGGATGATGAGAAACAAGCCACCAACAAGCCCAGAGTTTAGCCTTACTGGTTGTTGCTCTAATGCAGATTTAAAGCAATGGATTTCCTAAGTAACAACTGCCTTGTAGGAAGCATTTCTGAATAGAGACCCCTCAGGTTGAAAGCATCTACCTGGGGGAGGGTAGTTTCACCTTTCTTTAGGTCTTCCTGGATTTCTAACATGGAAGGAGTCTCACTGATCTCAGTGAAATACCTTCACTCCTCTGGTCCTGTCCTGTTGCCTACCTTCTCAGTTTCTTTCCCTGGTGTCCTGTGATGCTAGGTGGAGAGCAGGAAAAGGTTCTGAGAAACCCTGTATTGGTTTCTTTCACAATTGAGCCCATCTCCAAGGTGCCTGGGGGACACTGTGATCAGTGTTCGCAGTGTTTACTGGGTCATCCCAGGGCCTAGCCTACAAGAGTGGCTCAATAAGTCATGTTTTTCAAGAAATAAAGACTACTGGATGCTACTGTGAGAAAGTGAAAAATGAACATGTAAATGTCAAGGCTTATTTGTCCTTTTAACTTGAAGTTCTCCATTGGATTTTCCACACAATTGACAAAATGTAAAAGCAAACAAGGATCAAAATAAAAAGTAACTGGAAATATCCCAAGTTAGTTGAAGGTCAGACACATGGAAGAGTAATACACACAGTGGAAATAGATTCACAGGCTAAGTCAGAATGTAAGGAAAACATTTCTAAATCACTAGCTTAACATAAAGCCACGTGTTATCTACAAAGATCCAAGATGGAGAATTATGCTACCTTCAAAATCCACATTTAAATAAATCACTTCTGCCCAAACAACTAAGGACCAAGAAAAATACAGGTATAGACCAAAGTAAAAGTATTTAACATTATTTTACTTTCAAGATAGAAACGGAAACATTCCTCAGAACACTATATAAGGAGAGGCTGAGGTCAACCCTTGAGCTAAGTACACTTCTGTTATAGATGTAAATAGGAAACAACAATGATGATATAAATTTTTTGAAAAATGTTTGCTTAGCAGTCTAATTAAACGGGACTGAATATTTTGCATTTTAATGCTCAGGAGAAAAATCACCAACTGTTTTGTAGCATGCCTGGAATTTTAAATTTCATTTTCTGGTGCCAGATTGAAATAAAAATAGGAAACATGATAAAGATTAATTTGATGTCAGAAGGGACATTTGCTCTTTAATTAGATTCCTGTAGCCCTCACAGTTTTGTTTTGCTACATAGCAAGTCTGAGAAAGCCTGTAGTACCACCAAGCAGTGATCCTCATAGTCACACTTACCGCAAACTAATTTCATTTCCTGCCTGTCTGGAGAGGTATTTTCAACAGGCATCAATGTTTTGTCTTTATGACTGATTTATTCATCAATCTCAATGTGATTTAAAAAAAAAAAACCTTAAATTATACCCAAATCCTACAGCAGCTGTTTATTACACAAGGAAATTGAAAATCTGTCTGTGATACCTTACAAAGATTTTTTCTTAAGGTTATAAAGGAAAGTGACAGATATTAATGATTTTTTCTCTTGACCTCATTCCACAATAAAAGTGCACTGAGAGACAGAAAGAAAACTGAAACAAAAAAAGTAGGACCATGGACTCAGTGTATAAGATATTCTTAAGAAAATAATGGAACTATCATTGCTGGTACACTAACAGTTTTTTTTTCTTTTGTTGTTGTTGTTGGAAACATTCATTTTCAAAGGGATAGTGAAGTGTCTAGAGTAATACTGAAATGTGAGACCATCTTTAAAAAGTACAGTAGCCATCAGTGTTCTTTTCTCTCTTTTTTTGGTACTTAGGTAGGAATGTGGTAAACACACAAGGAAACAGACGGCTTCAGGTTGAAGGTGGATTGGATGATGAACCCGGCAGGTCGACTTGAATCTACAGGCTAAAATCTCACTCATGACATGAAGAGCGGACGCAACAAACTGTTGAGAGTGTACTGCATCACATCGATTGGTGCCAACTTCTCCATCTTGACTTTAGGATGGCCAACTGGCAGTCCCTCTAATCTGCAGGCTCCTTGCTCTGTTAACCTGCCCACAATGCAGATAGAGTCCCCATCTTTTTCATCTCTTGGGACCTATTTTTCTCGTTACTAGTCTTTGCTGGAATGTCCTCACACCCTTCCTACCTCGCCCCCCACCAACAGTGTTGAAATGTTGCCTTTTCTTTGCATCTGTGGTCTCTGAAGCCTTTGAGTGGGCTGTGAAGTGCTCTCTGACATTCCTCCCTGAGCTGGTGTCTTCCTGTATCTTTGCCATTGGATTTCGACTTATTGTCTTGTTACCATCACTTCTCATGCTCCAACTCCAGGAAGCATGAGCCTCTTTCCCTGGATTCCTACATCACTTAAGTTTAAGAGTACAGGCCATGCCTGGCACATGTTAGGATTTGTTTAAATTATTTTTTATCATAGTAAATTTTTTAACTTCCCACTACAGCCAAATCTACAATTTCTCCAAAAAGTACAGCATACTAATCATTTAAATTATTAGAGGTTTATTATTCCACAATTATTTTATTAACTGCTTATATGTTTAATGTATTGTTGAGAGTGATTTTAGTAATGCCGTCTTTGTAGCTATTTTTTCTTCATTGTGAATTCCGGCCATGATCTTTTATTATGAGCTCTAACCCCAGACACTTTTTGAGATACACTAATAAAGCTGACATGTAAATTGATAAATACCTCATTCAAAACAGCATGAGTTATCCCCCCATATTTAGTATCTGTATAGTGAGATAAATCTCGAGGTTTTACAAGTAGCCCTTTAATTCTCAAACAGCAGAAAACTATTCATGACGGCCATTACCTTATCCAAGGTGTCAACATAAGGAAAAGAAGGAGCTATTCCTGAGTAGATAAATTAGGAAAGGGTCTCCTTTCTGGATAGGTCTGTATCTTTCCCAGCGGGACTCTTTCCCTTACGAAGAAGTAGATGAACTACAGCATGGTGATCAGCACATGTGCCTGGAGCCCACAGCACCTGCAAGCTGGCGTCAATCCATCCAAGTGAAGGTGACAGCCCCACACTGCTTATTCTTTAAGCAGATACCATTGACTCACTAAAATACAAAGGTATTCAGTACTGTTCATTTCCTTGTGAGTAGTGTCTGATGTACAGGGTTCTATCCTTCTCATTCTATCCCGTGGACATCTCTTAGTCATAAATGCATTTAGAGACAGGGCCAGAGGTTGGAAATTGTTACCACTGTGGTCTTCCTTCCAAGTGACTCAGTTTCAGCAACAGGTTTTGGTGTGTAGGTAGGAAAGTTAGCTACTCATATATTTGGTTTTGGAGACAAGAAAGACAGTGAGACGATGAATTCCTTTATGTTTTATAAAAGATTTGACTTTACAAGTACCTAAGATTGAAAAGCCCTCTAAACTTTTAGAAGACACAGGCTTTCTGAAACAAATCTGTTAATAACCTACAAGAAAGTGTGAGGCTGAGAAGCAGTCACTGAACATTCAGAACGATGCTTCAGAGTTCTGGTCTGATCAGTATTAGAACTCCATCTCCCAACTTGTGAGTTCAGTACTCTTACATGCCAAGTCTTAGTTTTTTTACCCACCAAATGAATACCAACACTGCGAGTTTTCTGAAAATTTAAGTGCTAGGTACTGGGTTTGCTGTAGTCAGCTTTCAGAAACCTGTCTGTAATAAGCATAATAAAATACATTTTAGACTTCCTAGACATGGCTCGTATTTCTGCCTCCCCATACTTACTCTTCCTAGTGTAAACATGCATTCTGTGTACAAACAAGATATGAATTTTGCAGGAGACCGTGCTTGTGGGTTTATTCAAAGCTCTAGGAAAAGCATAATTGAGTGGTAAAGATGGTGGTTAAGTTGGCTATGACTGGTAGTTTTTGTCTATTTTCTAAAGGGAGCTTTCAGGGTTTTTGTATATTTTATATTCCATTGAGTTTATAGATGCTCCAAATTCTCAAATCATGAAAGAGCATTAAAATCTAAAAAAAAAATCTGAAAAGAAAATTTGATTTCAAATAAAACCTAAGCAAGATTAGCCAGATACCTCTCCTGTTTTCTTATTTACACACACACACACACACACACACACACACACACACACACACACACCCATTTGCAGTGCTAGGGATTAAATCCAGGACCTGTCACATGATGGCAAAATACTCCTCTCATCCCAGGCTCCTTGTATACATTTCAAAATGAAGCTCCAGTTACTATTTGGTTCTTAGTGTTTTTAGGGCTCTACTAAATTTGGTATTGAATCTGATTTCATTTATACTAATTATTGAAGTCAAGGGTCATCCCAGTCAAGAAAGCCTCATTTCCTTAATGAAATTAAGAAGCAATTACAGACTCTGTTTCAACAAGATCCATGATACACATGGCATCTTAGCACATGTTATCACTAAAGAGACTGAAACCAGAAACAAAGGGGCTACCAGCAAAGGAACACCAAATTGATATATCTTGGGAAAGAAAGCGGTGATTCGAAGGGAAGTGCTATCAATGCCTGGGATGGTGATTCTGACAATTCACCACTTGTAATTTACACTTTCCAGAAGTAAGTCTGTCAAATGCCTGCAGTTCTCTCTCCATTTCAATAGAATAATCACCCTTCTCTCTTTGCTTGATAGACAATCGCCCTTCAGAGGTACACAGAACCTAAGTGTGGAGACTTACTTGCTGCATGGTGGGCGAGTGTAAGGCAGACTGGACCTGCATGGGAAGCTGGCTCCCAAGTGGCTGCTGCATGGCAAGCGGCTGATGCTGCTGCATGCTGAGATGCTGGTGAAGAGGTGGGCTGATCTGGAGGGGCGGTGGTGGGGACACGGCCATGTTGGCTATGGAGACAGTCACTGGCATTTGGTTATTCGGCTTGGGTGCTATGTTTCTGGGGAGGCTTGGGTGTATGGCGGTGAGGTGAGGATTCATTCCTGGTTGTTGGTGATAGTGAGAGCTTAGGTACAGAGCTGAGTGGGCCTGGCTGGGCCCATGGAACACTGACGGCTTGGAGTTGACCAGCTGGGGTGGCTGAGATGTCTTCACATCAACAGGATCACTGTAGCTCTGCAAAAAGAACAAGGAGAGCAGCATTAGGAGACAGGTCTCTGAGCACGGTGCTCTCCCAGGATGTCTGTGAATTTTCTCATGGACTTTCATGAGAATCAACATCCATGACTATTCCTGTGTCTCTTATCTAAGGATGCTTCCATCGTTATTTTTAACATAACTTATACAACACCGACTTTCTAACTCCTTTATGAAATCTAAAGCATACTGTAATGACATTTCATTCCTTTGCCTTTGCCTAAATGCTCTGCTCTGACTATTTTGGTCATCCAAAGACAGATAAAAAGATGCAGGAGGACACCATTATCACCTTAAGTTATCTCACTTTCAAAGTCATTCAGTTCAGCTCTCCCACTGATTACATGCTTGATTTCTTCTCTTTGTGTTCTCACAGAGCCTTGGCCCTAGATATTTCCACAAAGAAAACAAAGCTGGCTGATAGCAGTGGCTACAGAAGAGGTCTAAAATACCTTCCAAAAGTCATGGAAAATCATACTAATATGTCCTCAAAGGAACCACAGAACTTACCTTGATTTTTTTTTAAAAGGAGATGGTGATAAATTGTTCCCACTAATGAAGTGGATAAAAATAATCTCTCTTTGATAATTTAGACACCATCATAAATTAATATAATCTTGCCCTAATTTTTCCACACCTAATAACCTTTTAATTGACTTAAAAACCAGACGTTTCAGTGGAAGCTGAAAGGAATCAAAGATTAACCCTGTGGGATTACCTCCTGGGGAAGAAACTAGCTCTTCATTTTCTGAGAGAAGACATGGATGGAACAAGTGCAGAATGTGAATCCAACAGGAAGGGAAAGGGTCGACTGTGTTTCCAGAGAAGAAGGCCACCCTTGCCAAACCAGTCTTGGGAACTCACATACACTTTTCCTTTGTGACCTTGATGTGGTGCCTCTTTGGTTCACAAGTCAGCTTCATGCTTAAGCTCTCCCCATCACCAACAGCCAGGGACGAATCCTTGTTTAGCAATGCAGGGACCATATGTCCATGAGGGCCTTGATGTCCCTCCTGCTCAGACAATGCTACCCTCTAATCCATAGCCCATACTATCTATGGGAGTCAACTGAAGCTTCATTATCTTAGGCCATTCTGAAGCACTGTGAGCAGCATAATTCAGGCACTCCCAGGGATGCAGGAAAGTAAATGACTCACAGCAAGCATGATGCTCATGTGTGTGCTGATTCCATGCCTTTGCCTATTTGTGGTTGGTGATTCTCGATCACATATATACAGTCTTATAGGAAGGCTATATATGACCCCTTTGAAAATATGCCAAATGTGTGAAGATGTCATGATGAAATAAGGAACAGATTATTACTATGACCCACAACAGGGCAAAATGCAGAGACTGTCCTTGTTGAGTGCCCAGCCCTGATAGCTACATCTGCAGCACAATCCCTATACAGAAGGCTCAGGAAACATCACAGAAGAGGGGGTGGAAAGATGGTAAGGGAAGAGGACCAGGATGTCTGATTGGAAATAGTGACTTCTAGGCACAACACAGATGCTGAAACCACAAAAGCTCAACAGTATGGCTGCCTAAAAGCGACCTCCACAAGTGCAACATTAATTAATGTGCTAACATCAATGGATGTGTGAAAATGTCTTGATGAAATAAGGAAAAAAGCTATTATAGAGATCTACAACAGGTCAAAATGCAGAGAATGTCAACTTGGAGGGATTCAATCCAGACAGCTTCATTATCATAAGCCAGTATTCTGTACTGTGATACACACACACACACACACACACACACACACACACACATACATACATACACCCCAAAACATGAGAATCTGGGACTCAGGGAGGTTAAATTTTCTATACAGAGCTTATAGAAAGGTATACCCAAGGAGTCCTAACCACCTCCCACTCCCCAAGGGCATTTTCATTAGTAGAATTGGAATAGACGTTTGTATTCCCTGTATTCTATAGAAACGTCAACATGCCAAAAAGTGTTCAGCAAGAATTTATAAAAGGGACTGCAGACAGAAGAGTTTATGAAATGTAGCTCCTGAGGGTGCTTCCAATGAAAGAAAACTTTGAATTAGACTATTCTGCTTCTGCTTTTAAATTCTTGAATAAAACAGTTAATGATGCAAAGCAAAGTTCAAAGGGTTAACTGAATTTTTAACACAGAGAATTTTAGAAAGCTATATATTCATCATACACTTATATATCCACACATACACATATCCACACACACACAAACCTACTGAATCCTTTTTGTGTTGCTCATATGCACACGTGTTTAGGGCTGGCCACTTGGGATTGGTTAACCTATCAGGTGGCTTGTCCCTGGAGAATTGGGATTCTCCCTTTCTCAACTCTCTTAGCATCCATTGAATGCCTATAGCTTTCCATTTAGCCTTGGGAAATCTCCCCATCTATGGTGATAAGTTAACTAATGTAATTGTATAGGTCTCTTTTAGGCAGCCATACTGTTAAGTTTTTGTAGTTACAGCATCTGTGTTGTGTCTAGAAGGCACTATCTCGAATCAGCTGTCCTGGTCCTCTTCCCTTACCATCTTTCCACCCCCTTTTCGGTGATGTTTCCTGAGCCTTGTGTATAGGAATTGTGCTGCAGATGTAGTAATCAGGGCTGGGCACTCCATAGGATCATTTTCTGCATTTTGCCTTGTTGTGGATCACTGTAATTGCCTCTGTCAGCTTCAAAACAGTTTCTTTACCCACTTAGCTGTGGGTAAAAGCATTTAAAATACAGTTTGAAACAATACTGGTTTAGGAAAAGCAGTCATAGCTTCTCCTCTAGGGTCTGTGGCCTTCCTAGATACAGGTTGTTGGCTATGTTTACAGTACCGGGGATGAACTGCCCCTATTGATCAAGCCTTAAATCCAATTAGACAGTTGCTGGTTCCCTCCAATGCATATGTGCCATTATTGCAGCACTAGGGATATCTTGTCAGGCTGGTTATGGTTTGTAGGTGTGGATCTGAACAGAGAGTTCTCAAAAGAAGAAGTAAAAATGGCAGAAATATCTTTAAAATGTGCTCGGCATCCTTAACAATCAGGGAAAGGCAATTTTTTAAAAACAACTTTGAGATTTCATCTTATGCCAGTCAGAATGGCTAATATCAAGAAAACAGCTGACAACAAATGCTAGTGAAGATGTGGGGGAAAGAAAACCCTCATTTACTGTTGGTGGGATTGCAAACTGGTGCAGCCATTGTTTAGATTAATATGGAGAATTCTTAAAAAGCTAAAAATAGACCAAATGACCCAGCTCTACCAATCTTTAGCATATTCCCAAAGGACTTGACATCCTATTCCATAGATACATGCTCAGCCATTTTAATTTCCATTCTCTTCACGATCACTGGGAAATGGAAACAGTTTAAATGTCCTTCAACTGATGAATGAATAATATAAATGTGGTACATATGCACTATGGAATACTATTGAGCTAAAAAAAATGAAATCATGAAATTTTCAGGTAAATGGATGGAATTGGAAAATATTATGTGAAGTGAGGTAACCCATACTCAGAAAGATAAACACTGCATGCATGTTCTCTATTTGTGGTTCCCAGCACTGAGTCTTAGGTTTGGGTACATGACCAAAGTGACCATGGAGGCTAAGGAAGCAGAGGTACCAT